GAATACAGACATTAATCATATTTAATCTAAGTATAACAATTCTTCTATACTATGCACAATAAAATATCGCTAATAAAATAATAACTGAACGTGATCGTGCATTTGACTTGAAGCTGCTTGTATCACCTAATTAATACGACACGCCTGAACACATCTCACAATCTTTAAAATTCCTCTCAACCACGAATCCAGCAGAAAATTGCAACTCTATCGACACTCGATACATCGATTAAACGCGACAATAAACAAAAAACTAGATATACGAGATCTCTCATAAGCGATGTACAGGTTCGTTCGATGACAAGAAGCTAATGAGACTCTTTAAACCTAAGTAATCATGCAGTCTCAAGGTTGAATTATCTCACAAACACCTTCTCCCTGTTTCTTCTTCTTCGTGAATGACAAAATTTGTTTCTCCTTCAGCTACAGTCCCAAGAAAATGGTATCAAAAGATATGTCGTTTCAAGAGGAAAACCAAGGGTCAAGAGGCTGCGAAGAACAGCGAAATCGGCACGTATGTTAAATTAGTGATAAAACCTCTCAGGATATTCCAGTTCGTGAGTACTAATTGCAAAGACAGTACCTACGCACGCGTGTGAAAGTATAACTAGTAAAACCAGTTGGATAAGATCGACGATTTAAACAAAAATATGTACCTTTAATTGATTAGCTAGTGGTGCTACTGATCTTTGTACTTGTCGTTTACACGATACTGCTGGCTGATTCCAATTTGTCATCCGTGATATGTATTTTAATCCTCGTACTTTCCGGAGCCTACACCTTCGTCCTGGCGATCGACTCGATTTGCCAATTTTGCGGAGAAGAGTTGCACTCGATACCGGTAATTTATTTGTGTAAAGAGACTCGTCGTGGAAAATTGTTTCGTTCGTTAGTTGTTTGGAGTACGGGATGATTATGATAAATTAGAAGAAAATATGAAATGCTTTTATTCCAGATGTTTATCTTCTCCTTTTTGGGCACGATATTTTTCGGACTCGTTGGAATTTTTTTAATATTAGTTCATAACGTGACAATACCATGGTACGTGTTAACTATAGCGTGCCTCTCCCTTTTGTCGTGTGTCCTCTTCGTAATCAGGGTTTCGATTATACTGGCGTAAGTACACGAATCTCAGAACTACGATTTTTATAAAATAACCACATCGTGAGGTATCTGTTTTCAGATTCTGGAAACGGCAATGCAATCTTTGCAAGCAGTGCTGTTACTCTAAGCAAGCTGAAGCATTATTGCAAAGGAATATCTGTCATCCACTGTGCACCGAAGTAAGTTCAAATATATTTATTCTGTAGGAATAAATTTATGATACTTTCGACGAAGAATTCAGATTTATTTATATATTCTGAAAATTGAAATTGAACAATTTTGTTGATAATGCAAGACACTTGCACGAAACCACTGTGCTTTCATTTTTATTTGAAGAATTTGAAGAAATTAATACGTTTTAAATTTTTCTATCGTAAATTAATAAACACTAAAATAACTAGCATATAGTAATCTATGTTCCTCGAGTGCCACGTTTCTTTTAAGGTGTCTCTCTACAATCTAGACGGTCAAATACGACCTGACGACCAGCGTCAGCAGCGTGAGGGTGCCATCAGGAGACGAAGGAGCGATTCCAGATCACAGTTACCGAAAAGTCGCATACGGACATCGACGGCAGTACGTCGATTGTCCAACGAGTGCTCGACAACTGGCGTTCGTGGACGTTGCTAACGTTCAAACGGAACATCGCGCTATGTGCAATATACAGAGTCAAGTGAGTGATAATACCAACGATAAAAAAGAAATAAACGAGAATAATAATTTTAACGATAGGAAAAGAAATTTAGAAATTGCTAAAAGCAAACAAGACTAAGGTTCTACAGTAAAAATAATTTTCCCTCCAGAAAAAATTGATTGTTTGAATAGCTAGGAATAATAATAATTTTAGGTCCAAGGTTCTACCAACGAAATAATTTTTGCTCTGACGAAAATTGATTGTTTCAATAATTGAGAAAATTTCTTCAGACTAAGCAAGATGTGAAAGAGAGTCCTGTGCAAACGGTGAGTAGATGCGAGCTGTGCAATCGACAAATGCAATTTTTCTCGAGTACTTCGGCTATGGTGCCTACAGATCAGCAAACTCCATGTGCACCATGTCCTGCGCTAGTGCAGCTTCTCAGAGGAACACCGTGTTGCCCAGGGTTAATATTATTTCTTATTCCGCACCGTTCACTATGTAACAACCTAACATCTAAAATTTAGAAAAATTTTAAATGAATACTCCTGAAGAATTTATTTATGAAGATTTCCTCGACATATAAGTGACATAAAATTAATTGCGTATGGTAATTAGGTGTAGGTGCGTGACAGGTATAATTCAGGTGCCGCAACAGAGTCAGCAGCAGCAAACGCAGCGACACGAGAAATCGAAACAGGACAAGGAAGCAGACAAGGAGCAGACACACGCTGCAGACGAGAAATCCTACGAAATGTTGACGAGTGAGAAAGCTCGAGTCCATCAGGTTGCGAGTACAGGCGTTTCTTTGAAAGCAACCGCGTGATTTTCTCTTAGAATTATCTTACAACGTTATGAGATATGTACTCGGAGATACGATAAATATACGGCTAAGATATTGAAAAACGTTGTATTTTGAAAAGATTTCGAGTATATTCGTCGAGTTGCGATATTTTTTAATTTGAAAAAATTCGAAAGGTCAACTTGAGACCTTAATTCTGATGTTTAATTGTTTTTGGAAGGCGGAGAGTATTCACCACAGGACCAACAGTTAAAGGGAGTCTCTGGAACTATTACAAAACTTACTCTTGCCTCCTATTGTGTAACTCCGAAAACCACTGACATTTCGTGTCAAACAACCACCGAAACAACGTAAGTTTTCCATTCGAAATTCACATTTAACGAAAGTTTGTCCGAGTGGACTGTTACTCTTTCGGTGTATCGATAGCAAGAAGACTGGTGAACCAGTAGAACCGAAAAAGGTAAGAGTGAGCTTTTCGAATAAAGGAAAGCAAGACGCGAAGAAGAAAAGCGATATGTTAATACCGGAAAAAGAGACGTCGAAGGCAACGAATAATACTGCGAAAAAGGCGCTGAGACCTGCAAAAAAGACGCCAGAATCTTCCACGGAAAAACTAGTGGAATCTTTTGCAGAGAAGCAAAAATATTCCGCCGAAAAACAGGTTGAATCTTCCGCAAAGAAACAAGAATCATCTCCAGAAAAAGAAGAATCTGCCGAGAAGGAAATATCCGAAATTCCTACAGAAAAAGCAGTAAAATCTCCTGTAGAGCAGCCTGTCGAACCTGCCACGCAGAAAGCACCAGAATCTACTGCAGAAGATGCAGAAAAAGATTCCGACAAATCGTCAGATCCCGCGATGGTAATTTCCGAGCAGAAGAAATTGATCCCTCCACCTCGACAAGTGGCGGAAATAATAGATCGTCTTCAAGAGATGGAAGGAACGAAAGGAGAGAGTCTAATGATGCCTCAAAGTGCGGATATTCTCGATTCCACGGTGTCTCAAAGGGAGACGAAGTCTGTTGTCATAGGGGAAGGAAAAGCTGTGACGATTTCGCAACCGTCTACAACTGGGAATGGCAAAGAGACTGAGAAAGAAGATGAGCCACGTACAGATGAAAAAAGGCGTGCCAGTACTTTGGACACGAAGACGAACCATCCAGATTCCGAAGAAGTGAGCTTAATTTCGGAAGAGAGTTCCAAGTTGTCGGTTAATCAGAAGGAAAAGATGAAAGGTGAAAATGACAAGCCGAAATCTGACGATTCCACTGCGAAGGAGGAACGAGCACAGGAAACTGACTCGACGACTAAACCTCACATGGGAACGCAGACGTAAGAAATAATAATAATTTTATTTTACTCTAAATAATTTTTATTTCGAATAATAGTAATATTGCCAGATTTTATTTTATTCTACATAATCTTTTCAAAGTACAATTTTTATCTACTAGTTTAATAATAATATTGTCAGGTTTTATTTTATTCTGAATAACTTTTATCTGCAGCAAATAGTAACTTTTATTTTAGGCTGCAGCAGACAAAAATATCTTTTTTTAATTTTGTATTCGTTCACGATAGTTTAAAAAATAACGAATTCGATCGCAGAAAAATGCATTGCAAAGTGCATCTAATCTACTTTAACCGCAATGCATAACCGGCAAGACACCGGAAATAGCTTTACGCGTCTGTTACCTAATTCCTTGTAAACCTTAAACCTGTTTCCTCTGTTATCCAAGTCCACGTATCATTACCTGCGATATGTTTTGCAATTAGTGCAGAAGCATCCACTGCGAATAACAGGAATAAGAGAACCTACGGTTTGCGAAAAAAAAACAAAGTCGAACCAGCTGAAATGACGTAAGAGAATAACACATTATCGTAAAAAATTCGCTATCGAAACGGACAAAATTATTTGATTAAAAATATTAAACACGCAAAATTCCTTCGACGGCTCTTCAGGTATACCGATACAGACGTTCAAACTTTCGATTACGCTGATAACACCGCGGATACCGAGGTAATCGTAAATAAATAACTAAATTCACAAGGGGAAAAAAGTAGCTTTTCCAAATAACATCGTATCACCTTGCTGAATAAATAGTGCAGCTAAATAAAATATTTTATAGAAACTATTTGCAGAGAAACAAGGAGGTTCCACCGAGGAAAAAATTGTAAATATTTGCCCTGCCTGCAAACGGCTACAGGTAAATTTCGATCGTTCCTTTTCAGGCTGACAAATCTAGTAAACACGGTGTACACTTACGATATACGATTTATATGAAAATTTGAACAGATACCTACGATGTCGAGTTCGTTTCAGTATTACAGTGTTTATAAGGACAAACGAGGGCGATTATATTGTGAATACTGTGCCACGCCAAATTCGATTAAGGTACAATAGATAATAAAAAAACATGAACAACACGATAAGGTATAATTTAACTCGTCGCGGTTTAGGTATTGCATAAAAAGGACGAAGGGAGACGTTTGAAATGTGCAGGATGTGGAAATATTTTGCGTGTAAAGAGTAGTCAAGTACGACGTTCAATTTTCCCACAAATCCGATGTTTAATAAATTCTTACTGTACTTACTTTTATTTTCAGAGCACTCGAAATAAGTCTGACAATTGTCCAAATTGCGGTCAGACGCAAACACCTGTATCAGCGTGAAGTATTTAAAAAAACAAAAAGTAATTAGATAGTTAGGTATTTAAGTAAAACTGCCGATGTACATAAAAGAAGAGGTGAAGATGTACCAAATGATGTAAACCAATTTATCACCTATGTAAAATATACCTTTAAGTGTTTCAAAACGTTTATTCCTTTAAAAAGTATGTGATATCGTTGATTATACAGGGAAAAAAAATATTTTTAACAATGTTACATTGTTTCATAGATGATCGTAAAATATTGCGATGTATCGTAGAGAAGTCCGTCTTCGTTTTATCGTCGTCGTTTTCAATTATATTGCAATTTTCGCAAGTACAATCGTTTTCTTTTTCCAACGAGCGACGATACAGATTGATTTGATTAGAAAAACCAGATACACGCATGGTTCTTTTAATTATCGTATAACAGAAAGGCGGGGATACAAAGAATCGAAGGTAGAAAGGGTTTGATAATTATTTAGCTTTAAAAAAAAAAAAGAAAAAAACAAGGATCACCACAAGAGTACGATTAGAAAATAAAATTATATAAAGACTGATTGAAATACTTATGATTATCATAATAAGAATTAACGATTACCTAAATACTAGCTACAATTACTAAAAATTGTCAATCTTTGGTATAAAACCAGTTTTCGCGTTATACTCTCTTGGAATACGGAAAAAATTCCAGAGTAACCGATCGATCGTTATGAACGTCAGTTGATATAAAATTCGAAATTTCCCACTTTCTACTTAAGAGTTTCAAAATGAATAAGTATAGCAAACAAAACCGTCGCAAGATTTCGAACACTGATTGTAAAAGAAAAAACAAAAATCGTCGTTTACTTTCTCCTTTGAAATATTGATTAGAAAAATCGTTTCGATCTAATGATCATGGCACAGGTTCTTCCATTACGATACAACAATTATCTCGAAGTTAACAAAAAAGAAAAAAAAAAAAAGACACACTTAACGAAGATAAGCAAAGCTAAACTCGAGATAGTATCACGGATCATTTGCATAAATCTACCAGCTTATCTGTCCTCTTCTCTTAACTCTACGTTACATAATGGCACCCAACGAAGAAGCAAAGATTAAAATAACACGCCTCCTCTGTCCGACAATCGGCCATGCTCGTAATCAATCTCTCGACAACAAGAAACTCTGGAAATTCTCACCGAACTGTGGCAAATTTTCCGCAAAATTCGCAGAATTCTCGTACGCAAATCTCTCGTTAAACGTCGAAGGACCTACGAGGGAGCCGTAATTCTGCTGTTGCGAATGATCTGTGCTCTGATAATTATTCGTATACTTGACATCGTTCGACAACACGTTAGATACCTCGCCGATATTTCGCGACTCGCAACGGTAAGCTTCGTTAGGCGAACACCAATTAACGTTATGATTAACCGCGGCAGGTTTAACATCGTTCCATAAAAATTGCTGCGGTGGTTCTTGAATATTTTGCAAATTATAAACGAAATTCTGATTGGAAAAAGGGGCGTAAGCTATCTCGCCGTTCTGTTCAGCAGCGTTAATCGCGAAATTCTGATAGTAATTCGCGTATTGGAAAGAATTTGCGAGTCGACGATTCGCTTCGTTCGCGGGAATATTCTCGTTGGTGATTTTCAACGATCCGGATAATTTCTGGACGAGACTGTCCGGGGAATTCCAGGTGTCGACGGATGGAAAGTCTTTCGAACGACTTGGTCTGGATGGATCGTGATTTTCGTCGGAGTAGAACCGATACTGACAAGAACACACCGATTTACATTTGTTCGCTCGATTGTAAGGAACGTTCGACAGATTTTTAGCGAACGTTTGATCGTTGTCGAGTGTTCTGAGAGCTCCGTTGGAACATTTTCGCATATCGTTCCATTTCAGAGCTTTCAGATGTTTCCCTCGGTTCAGGTACGTACTGATCGAAGGGAGGACAGCGTTCGATTGATCCTGTTCCTGAATGTAACTCTTCCTCAAATGTTCGTAGAACAGAGATTGGTCTAACTTTCGCAGGTTTCCGTTAATGTCCCAGAAATTTTCCTTCGTTTTGCCATCGTTCCTCGCGAGCTCCATCATCGAGCAATTGGAGCAGATCAGATTCGTCGATTCGCATTTTTCGCATTGGTTCAACTTCGAAGGCTTTTCTGTCGCCGCTTTTATCGGCCGACCCTTTCGAACAGCGACGTCCGTGAATTTCTGCGCTCGGTGATTGTTTACCTGGTTGGAATATCTATCGACGCTCCTGTGTTTCATGCGAGCCACGATCTTTTTCACCTTCACCGACTCGATGAACGTTTTTGTTATTTCCACGTTGCCTTGCTCGTCGCATGTCCCGTTTTCTTCGAACTACAGGTCAGAGTTGGGAATGAAAATATCGACGCAACGAGAAATTAATATTTGTCTTTTCTTTTCTATTCTTTCGAGTGATTTTTATAATTGAAATTCAACGAAGAGACGTTCCCGTGTTTGCAAAATCACGGTGACCTCAAGATGGCGCTTTTGCGAAACTACGGACGCGCGATAACCTATCGAGAAGTGTTTTCGAAACATTCAGAATAGTAAACTTGGTGTGGTAATTCTGTGGCGAAATAAATATCTCTATCCTGTTTGTAGAGTGAGGATAAGTGAAAAGGGAATGTGAAAATTAATAAACGTTCTACTTTCTTTTTTAAATTCGTCGAATTTTAGGTTAGTTTTGTACTGAACATTTGTGTACACGCTGATTCTATTTAGTTTATGTTTGAAATCGTGGTACATCGGAAAAGTATTCTTTACTAATGTAATTAGAACCTAGTGGCTTTCGAATTGATGATAAAATTGAAATTTGTCTGAATACGTCAAAAATCGAGCAAAGCATTTTCCCTCCAAAACAACGAGAAAGGCGCAAAAGCTTAATGGAGTAAACATGCAGTTGGCAATAAGAAAACGGAAGCAATAATTGATTATGTAGACAGGGAATTGTAATATACGGAAGAAGCTAGTTATGGTAATTTGTTCGAGAGGTACAAACCATCTCTGCCTTGGCCAAGTAAATCCATAGTTTCCGCCACGTGCTGAATTTGTGTTGATCGCTGAAGTTGTGTCGCATCTCTTTCGAGGCGTACCTTGTCGCCAATGGACTACGATAATCGCTATATTCACTGTTTTCTAACTTAGACGCACTCATTTTCACCGTTTCTCGATTAAATCAACCACTAAACTACGATATATTCCAGAGGAAATTTCGCCTAACACAAGAACGAGAAAGCACACGATCAGCTGATCTACTCGACACACCAGACGCTGCGCACTCTCTTTAATGAACGCTGGTACTTACAGCGCTACTCGTGGCGGGAAATCAAACTAGATCGTTCAAATGGATCTACTACGTTGTTCAGTAATATTTCTTTAATTTAAATATAATTTTGATTGGCAAAAAAAAATCATTGGAAACTTGTAACTTGTAAAAAGAATTTTCTGAAGTTAATTAGTGTAATTCAGGGATATTTCGCGAAGATTTAATTGAATTTTGGAATGAAATAGTCGCGATATTGTTAACTTTCCCGCATAAATGAATTTCAAGGGAACTATTTTAAAAAGTGTTACGCCTCGTTTCGTTGCCATGGTTGTTATACAATAAACAAGCAACAGATAGTCAAGTTTTCTTGTTAAAGTGGAAATGTCGACTCGTGACGATGATTCATTAAAACATAAATTATAATAAAAGTGTTTCACGCACGAGTAACATACGCAAGGTTTCCGATTCCTAGCAAATCGCAATGCCACTCGTAAAGACAAGTTAACAAGGGAAAGTACCCACGTTCCATTTTCTCGTGGGACCATAATTGACCGATGTCATTGTTCTTCACACGCGAAAGGAAAATCGTATTGCCGCCGACGCTGATTTGCAAACACCGACCTCTCCTTGCCAAATTTTTTCAAATTCTAATCTCGCAATTGTTCGTCTACTTTACTTACGTCTAAATTTCATTTTTATTTTCAAAATAAAATAAATTTCATTTTTATCGTGATAAAAATACAAATAAATTTCATCTTTATCGTGACAAAAATACAAATAAATTTCATTTTTATCATAAAAATAAAATTCTCATCGGAACATTTATTGCAATAATTTGTATATTCGAATACAAACTAACAAAGCAAAATTATATTCATACATACCACATTCGAAGGTGTCATGTTCAAATTAGCCCACTCAACATTGACCTCACAGTTATTAAAAAGCGTCGCCGATTCAGGCGCTAGCCTTCTTCTCCCCATAGCGGCACCACGATGGGTTTTATAAGAAACCAGCGCGTAACTAACCAAACCTGTCAAATTTCTATAAACAGAAACTTTATCGATATCGTCCGTCACCTCGTAGATTTTCTAAAACCCAAAAAGGAAACAATTTCTTTCAAATAAAAAAAAAACAAAAGAAGTAATAATAAAATAAGCGTATTCACCTTAACGATAGATGCGGTATCAATTGTTCGAGGCAACTGATTGATGTAAAGTCGACAATTATTCGTACTAGCGACTACGCCGATCCTTTTTCCAGGATAAACCTCGTATTGATCTAATTCTTTAACTGCACGTGCAGCTTCCTCTTCGGTGGCGTACATAATGAAACAGTAACCTCTGTTCGTGCCCGAAAATTCCATCATCAGGCGTAATTCGTAGATATTCCCCACGGAACTGAATATCAGAACGATCTCGGGCTCGTAATAGTTTCGTGGGATGCTGCCGACGAAAATCTCGCATTTCGGACCTGGAGGAGGTCCTGTCCATCCTGGAGGAGGGCCAAGTTTCCTTTGACCGTTCACTTGAGTCAGAGTCAATTGGGAATCGGCGACGAATTGTAATAATTTCAGGCTAGTCTCCATTTGTTCCTTCATGTTCGGTATCCTGTTGATGGCTTTGGGCTGTAAGATGGACTTCCGATTTTCTAGATAGGCTGAATTTGATTAAAAATGATTGTTGCAATTTTATCATAAATCTCGATGGAAATATTTTGTTTCACGGATTTTTATTTTACGATATAAAATATATATTCCATGACAGAATTTTATGAATTATTTTTCTGCGAGATCGAGAAACCTGTGTAATTAGGAATTTGAAGAAAGTTTATTAGAATTGAAAATGAATATGTAGAAATTAATTGTGTAATTTCGTTTGGTATGTTCCGGAACAAATGACGATTGCAGAGGTACAATAAGACTTCCAACGATTAGTTCATTTTTACAATGAAAAGAAAAAACAGGATCACGATCGAATAAAAATTGCCATGCAAGATATTTGTCTTTTATTCAAATAATTTAAATAGACACGACGAAGAAGCTAGGATCAGCTGATGTATAATAAACGAAAATTAAAAATTTCTTTCACTTTTTAAAATAACTTTTTGACACCACTTACCTAATCGTTTTTTAATCAGTTCTTCTTTGCTGATTCGATTAGGAGACTCTTCTAACTCTTCAATCTTCGATACGGCAATCATCGTTCCTTCGCGATTAATTTCAGCCTCCTCGGACATTTTATTTTCTCCCTTGGAATCAATGTTTATTTCTTCAGGTACATTTTTACGAAATAATCACTTTATCAAAAAATCATTGTTTCTTCTAATATACGAACATAGAGGAACCAGTTAAATTTGCTCAGTTTTTTCCAGTCGAACAGAGAAGAAATGGTGATCGGAAGTTTGAGAGATCGATGAACACTAAATAACACCAGCAGAGTTTGAAAGAGACTGATGGCACTAAACCACGATTCCACTATGGGTCAAGTGTATGAGATTAGATGGCGCTTATTTCGGACTGTTGCCATTGGTTATTGTTTATTTTTTATTAGCCCTTGGAGGGGAGTTCATCTTCGTTTCTCCCTTCATCCTGCCAATCCTTTTTCCTCTAAATGGTCAAGTTTTCTTTTGTTTTCCCCTTTATGATTTTTACAGACACATTCTAGAATATGGCAATATTCAGAAAAGGATATTTTTAATTTATTAACCCTGTGTAAATCGATTTTTTTTTAATTCGCGATAAGAAAATTTAAGGTTGATCGAAATTCTTTATTTCGACGTCGCGCAATTTTTTAATTCTCATTCAAGAATTGATCATTAAGAAATTGGCTGATAATAATTGACGGTAACTTCCGAGTCACATGGTGCTATAAAGGGTTAAATTGCAAACTGTTTTTTTAGGATATAAAATATTTTATTAACTACTGAAACCAATTAAGTATCTTGCTTAACGTAGAAATTCTTTTAGAAAATTCCTGTGCTGAAATTTTTCACTTTCTTATAACAATCGTGTTCATAAAATTTGCATTTGAAATTAAACGTAAAGAGAATTCATAAAAAAATCTGTATTACTTTTATTAATCTGTGTTCACTTATTTTAAATTCAACATTCCTTAAGAAAGTTACATTTTACATGTAAAAATTAACGAATAAGAATTTCAGAGAATTATAACTTGAAGAATTACTCGAAGCATTCGAGAAAAATTTCCGTTGGTGATGTTACATTGTTTCCTGGGCAACCTGTTGCCCGCTCGATGATCAAGATCAACAGTCCCTCGTCTAGAATTTCCGATACAATGTTTCGGAATCGTCGTGAGGCACCGATGCTCGAACCTCGAGAAGAAGAAAAATATAATTCCTTTAGAATCTTCTACAGACAATAACGAATATAATTTTTTTTCTTTAAATTGAAATAAAAATGATTAAAAAAAAAATCACAGTACTTCCAATCACATAGGTAGTCACTTTAATTTTAAAGTGATTCATACTGTGACTCATGAAGAAAATCATACTAGGTATACAACAACCAAACGAGCAATTTAACCAATCGTGGTATCGTTGCAATTATTTTTTTTACAGTAACCTAAGCTCGATCGATGCTGCTGTCACGTGGCACTCGTGAATCATTTCATGTTTCTTACACACGATCTACGCATTTATTTACCGACAGTTGCAATAATATTATACTACAAAAGTTGAGTTATTTAAATTGACAAATAATTATGAACGTACTCTATTTAATATGTGCTTTAAATAATCTTCAATCTTTCTCTATGTTACTGAAAAATTCAGAATACTTGCAGTGCTTAAAAGTTAAAAATTTACAGTGTTCATCTACTTTCATACAGAAAATAAATTACATATTTTTACATCTACAATCGTTTCCCAAATGTACGATATTTTATTTAAAAATTTTTTATGAAGAAATTGGTAAGGAAATCTTTTAGGAAGAAATTCGTGCATTTAAACGTTCCATCGAAGGTTCACAGATTTCATTTTCCCCGGTCGAAAGTATTACACGCCTCGGTTAGAAATTTCGACTACGCTCCTCGGTTCGTTGAAACGCTATCGAACCGGTTCAAGGTGCTGGTGGTTCGTTAACCATGTCCATGTCATTTATTGCGAAAATTCACACCGTGCTGCGCCAATGCACCGTACGATAATAGCATTGTTGTTACCTGCGGTACACAGACCTTACGTGACACGACCAAGCTCGCGCTCCTAGAACCGCGATCCTCTCTATCTCTTCAGTTGTCGTTGAACGCGCGCCGCGATTTGTCTTCTAACCTTTTCGCTCGAATTTTCTTAACAACTGCGGCAAGGTTCTTCGCTTCTCCATTTATTCGTCGTTAATTTCGTTCACCTCGAACCAAATTGTCGCCATGAATTTAATCATTTTTTCTTCAATATTCGATTCAGTCGATCGGTGACATTTTTGCAAAATTTTACAAAATAATGTTTCTCTCTGTATTGCAATTTTTTTTCAATGTATCATTCTGTTATTTTGCTGGATTATTATTTTTTTTTTTTAACTTGACAATGCTAATGGGTTGATGGTGAATGATTTTTGCACAGATTGTGTTATGTTGGAGTTGTGTTTGATTTTGTTTAAAATGATCGTGAACGATATGCCAACGATTGGAGAATGAGTATTTTAGAATTGGAAATTGCTAAGATTTTCTTATTCGGAACATGTGGAATCGCAAAGTGTTCATCAGGATTGTCGAAGTGGTGCGTGAAAGCGAAACTATAATTTTGCATTCGTTTGTTTTAGTAATATTGGTTGCAATACAGGAACTAGATTTTAATTACGTATTCTTAATCGCTTTCGTATCTCTATTCTCACGATTCGAGATAGCGAATCCCCTCGATGTTCCCATAATTAATTATTTATAATTGCTCCTGCGTACCGAGAGGAATAACTGAAGATGATAATTGAATTTCAATTTGTTTTTACTTTCTAATTTATTCACTCGAAATAAGGTAAAAATGCCTAATGAAGTGTATGTTTGATTTACAGATACTTTGCATTGCCTGTGTAGTGGCACTTAGGGTGACTGACGATGAGAGTCGAAGAGTGTTTCATTATCTGAGAAGTCGTAGCAGAGAATGGTCACTTTTGACCAACGTCACGTGGGGTGCAATTGGTTCGCAAATATTAATATTAATTTTATTCATATTCAGTTTTATTTGGTCTTCGTATCTATTAATTTTGAATATCTAAAATTTTGAGAATGTCCTTTAATTTTCTTCGACAGAATATTCATTAATTTTCTTTCAGAGGATATCCATCAATTTTATTAATATTAATTTTTTTTCATATTCAGCCTTATTTTTCCTTCGTATCTATTAATTTTGAATATCTAAAATTTTGGAAATGTCCTTTAATTTTCTTCCAGAGAATATTCGGCAATTTTCTTTCAGGGGGTATCCATCAATTTTCTTTGAGAAAGTTAATAGCCATTTTCAAAATTTCAATTGTGCTAATATTTCTACTTATTTCTCTTGACCTAAACAATTGAATTGTGCAAATAATTCAGAAACAATTTTGCCGTATATCTACTACAAAAAAAGTAATGCAAAATACGTAACTTCTCTTTTCTTCTGTTGATCTAGGCGCCGCTCTTGCAACAGCAACTTGCGGTGGTTACATAATAATTACAACGGGTCTTCTTATTGCTGCAGCGACCGGAGAACTTACTGGTCGAAAGACGGTAATTTTTTTCTTCTTCTCCTTTTCTTTCCGCCCAATGTTTGCAGTACCACGAAAAATTAAACTATGAATACTTAATTTCTTCTTCCTCGACTATTACGTAATTTCGTCGGATGTTCTTTAATAGTCTTATTGTTCGGACATTTCAAGGTACTCTTTCTCTTTTACGGGGCATAGTGTCCTTCGACATCAACGATTTTATCTCACATCGATGTCTTTTCTTCTTCAACGGACTCCTCGAGTGCAGAATTTAGGACGATAATTAAACAAATTCCAAATCACCGAATCACAAATTTTTACACGATATTTCCTCCAATTCGAACAAAAAAATCAGTGACTCGTAAAAAAATCAAACACTTGCTGAATAATCTCTCACGAAACATAATTCATGAAATTCTTCTACGATCAAACTGAGCAATAAACAGCCACTTTTTCAAGGTAAAACACTGAACGTTCCCACGATGGTAATCTCGCGATTATATTTTCAATATCCTTCCTGGTTGCAAATCTCGTTTTCTTCGGACACTCCTCGTATGTTATCCAAAGCGGCATAGTAATCGAGTGGAATCTCTCAACTACGCCACCAGAGAAGTCTTCTACAAGGATACCTTTTTTTTCCCGTTCGACTTCTGACTTATGCAAATCGACGCGTGTAATAAGCAATCGGTTGAATATAGAGCAAGTGTTTCAACTATACCGTGAGAGAATCGTGTTCAGGTATAGTTGTCATTGAGGGGCAAGGTTAAGAGTATCCTGCGATGCGAGTTGCAAGAAGAGTTGCACGTAACAGCATCCTTGATGAGAGCGACACGTAACGCGTACGCTACTGTGATTTATTTAATGACTCATAACCGAGGCTGGGCTGATCGCAATTATTCCTCCGTGCAGATCTACGCGTTCATTCGGACTGAAATTTATAAATAAACTCGTAAAAGTGAAAAATATCTTGAAAAATGGCTCAATGGCTCTGAAAAAGTGAGAAACTGTGCAACGATAAGGCGATTACGTTTTTTCGTAAAATTTCAAAGTGTATTTGGTAGAAAATTCCATAATAATAAAAAAAAAAGAACGCTGAAATTCTCTGAGTTAGCATAATCATTGTAAAGAAATCTTCGAAAAGAGAAAAATATATGTATATAGAGCATAATGGCTCCAAAACAGTGAAAAATTGTGAAACGATAAGGCGATTACGTTTTATCGTAAAATTTCAAAGTGTATTTGGTAGAAAATTCCACAATAATAAAAAGCAAACGCTGAAATTCTCAATTCTGGAGAAATTCGTGCGCCGTTGAACGAGAGTTAACATAATCATTGTAAAGAAATCTTCGAAAAGAGTGTGATTTATCAATTTCCTGATAATTGTATTCAGACGAAGGCTGGTTCACTTTTACGCCTGTATTTTCACGTGATATAATAGGCATTACGAGAGGTTTCGTGATTTTTAACGAAGACCGTGTTAAACAGAGGAAGTCATTAATATTTAACGATCCTTCTCATTACGTGTACACGAAGGTTGTTTTATTCTTTTATTTAAGGAACTATTCTTCCTTGGGCTGGGTGTGATTCTTTTCGGTATCGTCGGCGCTTTGTCCATGGCGTCCATTGAGAACGTCCCTCAAGATTTGATAGACAACGCGGCTGTATTTGGGGCTCTCTGCCTTGTCACAGCGTTGGTTTTCATCGCTGACCTGCTAATGAGCACTCCGAAGAAAAAGCACAAGCAAGGGATAACGGAACGTTTGACTGATAAAAGGGGCAAGTGACAAAAGCGAAACGAAGCATTTATTTCGAACGAAATGGAACAGAAAGTTCCAAAAATAATTCAACGAGATAGAAAATTAAAATTTTAAACGATAAAAGATTGGAAAAAGACCGAAAATGTAAATCAGAATCTTCTAAACAGTTCAGTATTTCTTTTTAATGTTACAGCCAAACGACAGGTAGCACCGACCATAATCACCGAGAAGGAATCAAAGTCTCCAAAGACAAGCAGTCCAAAACTCTCTAAAAAGGACAAGAATGGCAACGTAAACGACGGATTCGACAAAGTGGAAGAGCAAGTTCAGAAATCCTCTGTTGCAGAGCAATCCGAGGATCCTCGAAGATGGGAACAAGAACGTTCATCTAGTCAACGTTTGAAAGATGCGTACAGAGACGAAGAAAACGAGAGTTTCAACAGAGAAGACAGAGAACCGAAGGAGTACACGCAGAATTTCGAGAACGGAAGAGCTCTCAGAGACTCGCAGATGTATCGAGACGCTGAGACGCAAAAAGCGACGAGAGACTCTTACAAGATGGATCACAGAATGGAAATGCCTACCGTTGTGTACAAGAGTCGGGATATTTATCAACGTCCGATGGACGAAGTTGACACTCCTCGTTTCCCAACCGAAACGAACAGCAGAAGTGAATCTGTATTCGCGAAAATCATGAATCCCGGTGTGAAGATCATGAAAGTTGAGCGAGATGTGGAGGAGACACTGGAGGGTTATAGGTAGACATTATAGTTCATTACACGATTCATTTCTACGGGTATGAATTCTTGAAAAATTCGGTTTAATTTTGTCAATTTTATTCGTTGCTTCTCTTTTCTCATTTCACGGTAATAGATACTCCGACACGAGTCAGTACGACAATGTGCCAGTTCGAATGAGGGGAATGTCACCGAAAAGTAGGAAAAAGAATCGCGACGTCTCCTTCAACGTTCCACCGCCGCCAAAGGGTTACGGGAAAGAATTGGACAGGAGTAAGGACGATATAGAGATGCTGGAGGAGTGTTTTCACTCGCTTCGAACGTCGAGCACAGGAACACAGACGCCTAATATTCGAACACCGTCCGCGGCTAATGAACCTGGATACGTTCGACACACGGCGAGTAATTGGCCTCATGAGATGAAAACGAAAACGCCGGGTTCGAGCCCGAGTCACGCGAGAAATTAGCATATTTTGCAGAAAAAAAGAGGGATGTAACGCATTGTTTTTTTAAATATTGAACATGAAAAGATAATTAATATTGCAAGGCTCGGGATTTTTCAGGAATTTCAATGGTACGCAAAGTTTTTGTTTAGAATATTTCTTCTTTGGTATAGGAGAAGACTTCCTGAAAGTCCTGTTACGTTTTGCAATTGAGAAATTTCATTGCATTTATTATGCAATCTGTACACTTTCTTTTTTTTTTTTAATTAGTAGACTATTATTTTTACTCACTGCCTTTTTTATATCTAGGTGTATATTCACCTAGATAGTTTCGAAATAATTGCATAACATTTTTTATCAATGTGGAATAAAATATTCTTTACTTTCTCCTGATTATGTCATCGTATATTTACTGCTTTGAAATTGAGGAGTGTTTTAGTGGAGTAAGGAAAATTTCAGAGATACACGATCATTTTCGTATATGTAGAAATTTTTAATATAAAGTTTTAACACCTCCATTCACATCGATACGCATACGTACAATTATTAATAATAATGTCTTCTTGTGTTAAACATGTAACCGCAGCTTGTTAGTCTCCATCAGAACGTATTCGTTAAAGATATTAGTCTTTAATCGGATTTACATTTAACTCTTTACGTGTACCGTATCGTTTCTTTTTCTTACGCTTTTTTTTTTTGTATAAATAAATCGATTCTACTCAATGCAGAGACTTATCGTGTACTTTTTTTTTATCGCTTAACGCAATCGACAATTGCTTCGATTATTGAAGAAACAGGAAGAAATATGTCTTCGCTGGAACTGGAAGAAAAAGAAATCAACCGGAAGACGCAGCAGCCAATGAGAGTATCGACGTGTTCTGCTATGAATATTTTATTTGAGAAGCTATTGTAAGAGCTATTTATCGAAATTTTTCATTTCACAAAACCGTCGTCCTCTCGTTCAGCTTTTTTCTCCTTTCTTTTTTCACGTAGTCCTCCTCTTTCTCTAAACGTTTCTAAACGCGTATTTACAGAGCTGAGAATAATTGCTTAGATACTTGAGCATTCGTTCCTCTTCTTTTCCTTTCTTTCCTCTTCTATACATCGACATGGAAACTCGATTCACGTCAATGAACGAAGATACGAGATATATTTTCACACTCTTAACACTGTTCGTGTAACTAGATTGTCTTATTACTTTATGAAATGGTATTTTGAATATTGAAGTGTTGAATTTCTATTTTATAGCAACGTATAGTCTTGATCGTTTGTGACTTATCTCTTAAGTTTATTATATTTTGGTGTAATCGTCGAGGTTGTGGAGAAATGTTTGTGTTGAAACGAGGAGGGAAAAGTGCGAGACACTGTCAACAGTCACAATTGGAGAGACGGTTAGAATGATTCTATTTGTAAGCAAATAGTATCGTCAGATGATCACTATTTCTGTTTATTATTCTCTCACCTCTAACTAGACATATTTACAAGTCGAAGGACTCTCGAACAATATTTCTCTATCTAGTCTGCATTTTGCTTTCAAGAAATCCTAATTCGAATCGTTGTAAGAAATTTGTACAATCTCTTGTTTCTTGAATAAATAAATTAATAAAGAAAAAAGAATAACGTAATTTTAGGCGGTAATCCTTCGAAAACACTTAAACATCGTGAGCAACATTCGTGATTATTGAAATTGTGTTTATTCGACGAGTTATTTTCTGTCCTAACCTTCAAGCACACCTAAAAACATCGACAACATTCGAGAAATTCATTTAAAGATGTAAAGAGAATTTGTTTCCTTGAAATTTTCAGAATGTCTTCTCTTTTATTCAAACAAAATCGTTCTTTTGTTTCTTTTTTTTTTTTTCTTCATTCTGTAATTAGTTTTCTTAAATACGTATGTACAGCATTTCTTATTCAATTAATCAATGGGAGAGGAGTGTATGTCCCTAGTGTTTTGGCCCATATAATCGCATTTATATGCAGAATTTAATTTGAGAATCTTATCTCATGCCAAATCCAATGCCAGCTGCTTGGGCATTGGTGGCTCTTTGTTCCATGGTGATATATTGTCTAATTAATCGCGAAATTTCGTGAGCTTGTTCAGTCTGAAGTCTTGTGATGCGTTGTTGCATTAAATTGCCACACTTCATGTCTAAGTACAGAGTTCCTTCTTCAGATTTTACTTTCCTAGTGGAGATTACCTCAGAATAAGGATAGTGATACAAGGTTTCCTGAAAATTTAGAATATATTTTGCAACTTTTTTGTTGTTTATTGTTTAAAGTGGAAACTTTAGGTGTCAAGTCACTTACATGTGTGATTAAATCAATAAAGTGCACTCCGTGTCTATTCAATGCTAGAAT